GTTTGTCGGCTCAGCGCGGTAGTCTGGACGCTCCGCGGTCGACATCAAAGGAATTTGTCGACATCCCCGGTAAACCTCATCCCACGAGGCAAACCGGAGAGGTTAACAAATGCCTTTGATGTTGACCGCAGAGCGTCCAGACTACCGCGCTGAGCCGACAAACAGCTGATCAGCTCAGTGCGGCAGCCATTTAAATTTAAATGAAGCGGCAATTATTTAAATCACCGCTTCATTTTCCTATGCCGGGTAGCCTAATCTACATGCCTCTGTTACCAGAGGCATGTAGTCTAGACATACCCTCAGAGTCAGTGCTGTGTACAGTCAGCACGCACTTCATGTGCGTGTTACGTTAGTAATACTGTGAGGGGGGGAAAAACATATGAACAGAAACCAGGTTATTTGGCAACCCTGTGTACGGGCAAGGGTAAACAAAATGGCCCACATGCAGAATCCTAATGGGCAACATGTGGTCCACAAGTCACAGGTTGTCCATCACTGTTCTAGTGTCTTCAGTAGTTCAGATTGCTCATGACTCCTTTCAGTTAGGGAGAATTGCCTAGTCCATTTTGGAAGGCAGCACAAACACCCAGGAAGAAAGATTAAAAAACCTAGAAATCTATTGATCACATCAACCAATATTGATGAGCTAGAATTTGGATTCTCTGCTACTTGATCTCTATAGGTCAAGACTGGATATTTAAGTTAAAGATTCTCTGTAGCTTAACCCAAATGTATGTGCTTGATGCAGGTATTATTCTGTGAGCTTCTCTGGCCTGTAGTATGCAGATTGTCAGATTAGACTATCATAAAGGTTCTATTTGACCTTGAAATCCATGACATTTAAAAAAATTACAAAATAGTAAAGAACGAGACGTAGATATGTTTGTACGGCAGTTCAGCTGGGACAATTACCATTAATTAAAGGCACTTCACACCCCACTGATAATTATGAATTGTTGCCTTTCCTAGGGAAATGGAGCCCAGTATACTAGCTTGTTTTCTTTCATGCACCTAGCACTGAACTGTTAATTCCACCTGCCAGAGTTGAACATAATAGTGTTACTTTCCTTGACAGACACGCCTAGGGGAAGTATTAGAGCGACACAGACAGTAGGATCCTTAGGCTGATGTCTTTCACATTAAATGTGAAGAGTTGCTTCAAGAGCCAATAAAGTGAGCAGTTGAGACAAATGTCAGTTATCAAGTTACATCTTGATAAACTGTAGAAACAAGCAAGTGGCTTCCGAAAGACAAGCTGCATTTCAACAGAGAGGCTCCCTGATGCAAGAGTTGCTGGGTAACAGTGCTACTCCAGTAGCATCCACAGGAGATTAAATTTGGCTCTTGAGAAATCAAAGTTCATTTGGAGAGCACTAACTGAGTAATAAAAGGGCTGCTGAGATCAGATTGGTATTTTTATCAGTCTTACCTCGTCTTAACTGTTTGTGAAAGCTGGTTTAGTGCCTTGAAATGTGGGGGTAACTGCTAATGAGAATTCTTTGGATGCATCAAATCAATGCATGGATAAGGAAGAATGAAATGGTTTGAGATGCAGAGGAAAAAATCTGAAGACTCCTTACTGCATTGTAGTTGGATCCATTCGTGATTTGGCAGATGCTGTTAGTAGTTAGGAGACATAAGATGTGGTTATTGAATAGTGTGGCTAGATTAGGGGTTCCCTATCTCTTTCTGAGCCCCCTTCCCCCTATCCCAACATACAATAAAAATTTCATGGCCCACTTGTGCCACAACAGGTTTTTGTGCATTTAAAAGCCAGGGCCAGCATTAAGGGGTAGCAAGCATTGTGAGTGCCTGGGTCCCCATGCAACAGGGGCCCTGCAAAGCTTAGTTGCTCAAGCTTCAGCTTCAGGTGGCGGGACTCAGGTCTCCAGGTTTCAGCCTCATATGGTGGGATTTGATCTTTCTGCCCTGCGCCTCAGCAAGTCTAATGCTGGCCCTACTTAGTGCTCCCCTGAAACCTGCTAGTGGCTCCTTCTTCCCCCGCCCCAATGGCCCTGGTTGAGAACCTCTGGGCTCGACAACTTTGACTATTAATTTTTCAGTCTCCTTCACCAGGTCAAACCTGGGTTAAAGTCTTCATTCTTACAAAGAATAGATGGGATTATTGGAGTTGATCATTAAGCAAATTATAACCTCTGAATAAGCCTAATTGCCTTTACAGAATTCAAAGGCGAATGGGAGTATGTCTAGACTACATTCCTCTTTCGAAAGAGGAATGTAAATGAAGCAAATTGAAAGTGCAAATGAAACACGGATTAAAATATCCCATGCTTCATTTGCATATTCGGATCCAAGTGCTTTTTCGAAAAAGGGTTTTTCGAAAGTGAAAGCGCAGTCTAGACAGGGTTCTTTCGGGGGGGGGAAAAAAACCCTCGGGAGTATGGGGCCTTTCAAAAAAGGGTGTGTGTGTGGGTTTTTTTTTTTTTTTTTTAAAGACCCCGTCTAGACTGCGCTTTCACTTTTGAAAACCCCTTTTTTAAAAACACTCGGACACGAATATGCAAATGAAGCACGGGATATTTAAATCCACGCTTCATTTGCACTTTCCATTTGCTTCATTTACATTCCTCTTTTGAAAGAGCAATGTAGTTTAGACATGCCCTTACTGAGAGAGTTTATAAAAGGAAGGCAGTGATCATTTTGGAAACCATGAATAAATTGTACAGCTGCTTAGACTACGTCTGCACTAGCGCTTTTGTTGATAAAACGTATGTTCAGGGGTGAAAAACACAGTCCCAGTTGACAGAAGTGCTGCTGTGAACAGTGCTATGTTGGCAAGAGAACTCGCTACTGCCAACTGTTGGGAGGTTTAATTTAGGAATGTAAAATCCTGTTAAACTTAATGTTTAGCTGGGTAACTAATTAAACTGGTTAACTGATTTAACGGGTGGGTAGGGTGGAGCGATCCGCCTGCCCACTACTGCCAGGCTGGAGCAGCCCCCATGCCATGGGCAGGGACTGCTCCAGGCATGCTGCTTCTAACCCATGCTGGGATGAAGTCTATGGCAATACCTCTCCTCGCTTTAGAAGAGGCAGGATTGTATCCATAGATCCATAGGGTAAAATCATAGCCTGATGAAAGTCAACAACAAAAGCATTGACATAAATGGAGCCAGAATTTCACTTAATCTGAAAGAGAGGATGGGATATATAAATCCCAATAAGAAACTAAATAAATATTACATAAGTTATTAAATCACTAAATCAAATAAATACTATAGCTAGTAAATCAACCTGATCAGTTTCCTTTCATTGTAAGGGCCTTACACATTTATAGTTCAGGTCGAACCTTTCTAATCTAGCACTCTTGGGAGCTGACTGGTGAAATCTATTAAATACGTTTAAAATAGCAGTCATAAGCAGAAAAAATACATTGAATTGTAATGAATAATTCTACATTATGTCAAAACATTCTAAGGAAAAGAGTTTTTTTTTCTGATCATGAAACCCTGCAAAGACATATAGTCCTATTCATTCAAAACAAGTATGTGAATAGTTGAACTGAGAGAGCTTAGAACTCTGTCAAGTCTGTAACTGACACTGAACTCAGTTGGACTTCTCACATGCAACTGTTTAGAAGATTGAAGCCCACTGTGTAGAACCAAATTTCGCATT